CAGTGTGTGTGTGTGTGTGTGTGTGTGTGTGTGTGTGTGTGTGTGTGTGTGTGAAAGAGAGAGAGAAAGAGAGTGAGAGAGAGAGAAAGAGAAAGACAGAGAGAGAGAGAGAGAGAAAGAGAGAGAGAGAGAGAGAGAAAGAGAGAGAGAGAGGCTTTCTCAATATGCTCCAAGTTCCCAGTTTCTGGGGTCATGTTACTGATAGAGCAGCAACTGAGGGGTTGACCTGGCATCATGTGTGGCTTTATCCCATGTATAACAGAGTACCAGATCTTTGCTGACGCTTTTCTCTGGCAAGCCTGCCCCCTCAATGGCTACAGCCTCACAAATTCTCAGGGGCAAGGCCATCAGGGGGATTGCCTTCTCTGTCCCCCAGCTCTGTGTGTTCTGTCCTGGTTACTCATCAGGCCACAGATGTCTGTCCACAGCTACCATGGTTGTAGTGGGGAGATGTAGGTTCCTGATGGGCAGGCCTGGGTTCTAAGCCTGCATAGAGTTAGCTTAGAACCTCTGGGGTGTTCTCAACAGTACATGTGGCCCTGGCATCAGAGATCAGAGAAGGAACCATGCCAGGGGGCCCCAGGACTTGAACTTTTTCCCTGTAGCCTGGTTGTAGGTGGGGGAGAAGGACCCATCATGTCTGTCTCCGACCTGTGTCCTTGGCTTCACAGGGGGCTGCTGTAATGATGGAGGACAAACCTGCAAGCCTGAAGTTCATGATGACCTTGGGACTGGCCACCATGGGCGAGCGCGCCTTTATGAACCGCACAGTTGGAGAGATCTTGTGGGGCTATGATGACCCCCTCGTGAATTTCCTCAACAAGTACTTCCCAAACATGTTCCCCATTAAGGGCAAGTTTGGCCTGTTTGTTGGGGTAAGTGTCTTCCATGAACACAGCCTGAAAACCAATTACAGCACCATGTGGGTGCTAGGAACTGAACCCAGATCTTCTACAAGAGCAGCCAGTGCTCTTAACCACTGAGCCATCTCTCCAGCCCCTTGATCTCAGTCTTGACCCTTGGTAATGTGGTAGTGAGTGATGGAGGGAGGGAGTCGGGGATTGGAAGATAATTCAGCATGTTCCTTTCGCCTTCTATTGGGGGAGAAAACTCATTTTCAAAGGTCAGAACTTAGTCACACACCCTTAGCAGCTACAGAGGAAGCTGGGAAATGTAGACCTTTCTCTGCTGATGCTGAGAAAGGCTGGAGTTTTGTTTTATTTTATTTTTTGGTCTTTTTGAGACAGGGTCTCCCTGTAGCCCCAGCTGGCCTGGAACTAGCTATGTAGACCAGGCTGGCCTTGAACTCACAGAGATCCGCCTGCCTCTGCCTTCCTAAGGCTGGAGTTTTATAGTGAAGCAGTCCTTACACACATCTCCTAGTGACCAATGAGGATCCCATGGAGTGAGCATTTAACTAGAGGGACAGAGAGCAGCAGCTGGTGCCCAGGCGTTTGAGCTCTTAAGGAGCCCCAAGTCCAGGCCTATTTCAAACCTGCTCTCCCAGCACCCCTGCACAAGCCCCTTTCTCGCCTCCTCACAGCTGAGGTTTGTAGCTCCCCAGCTCTGTGGGGACAGGTGAAGGGGCAGAGCTGTGAGGAGGGTAGGCCCTGCTCCCCAGTCATTCAGCTCAGACAGTCTGTGATTGACAGACATGTTCCTCTCCTGACCTCTGGTTAGTTTCTCCATTGATGGCCTTTCCTTTGTGCTTCAACATACACCTTCCCCTGGGGGCTTTGTGTTCTATGCCTTTGTTCATATATACTGCATGCCTAATGGAGAAGGATTATCATCTCAGTACTCAGGAGGCTGAGACAGAAAGAAGGCTAATTCAAAGTCAATGTGGGCTACAGAGGGACTACAAGGCTAACCTGGGCAACAAGTGAGGAGAGGAGAAGTAAAGGCATCTGGGGATATGGCTCAGTGGCAGAGTGCTTGTCCAGCATGTGTGAGGCTATAGGTTCTGTTCCCAGTACCACTGAATCAGTGAGCTGCTTGGGGGACATGCCCTCCAAGGCTATTCTGAGGGCAGGCTGTCAGGACAGTGTGACACACTGGGGGGGGGGTGTCTGTGAGGATTGGCAGGTGGCACCATTGGCATGCACAGCCTGAGTCACAGTGACCTAAACAGCAGCATTTCCTTCTGTACTGGGACTCTGAGCCAAGGTGTGAGGCCAGGGTACCCTTCTGCTCATGGAAGTCCCTCAGGTGAGGAATACCCAGTCCTTACACACATCCATGGTTACCACAGCAGTGGCAGGGAGTTCAGGGGAGTTTGGGTAAAAAGATCCATCCAGGCTGTTTAAGGTATGTGGGGTAACCTGCCAACCACCCAGGCAGAGAGCTACTTCCTTGGGCCAGGAAAGAAACCCATCCCAAGCCTCTAGCACTAGGGGTATAGCAACCCTCCTTAAGGCCTCCAGTCCCCCCTTGGTCCAGTCCATAGCTGAAGAATGGATGGGCTTGTGTTTGGACCCAGGTCCCTTGTCCCTGACCCAGGGCTAAGGATGCTGCTCCCTATCCCTATCCACAGATGAACAACTCAGACTCTGGGATCTTCACTGTGTTCACTGGCGTGAAGAACTTCAGCAAGATCCACCTTGTGGACAAGTGGAATGGGCTCAGCAAGGTGAGAGCCAGGGATGACAGTCTTGAGCCTCTGAGGGACAAGCCTGGGGGATGGTGAGTGCTCTGAGAGGTTGTCAGGGTCACATGAGGACTTCTCAGGTCCAGGCTCTGTCCTTGGACTGCCTCTGCTGGGAACTCTTCACTCTTCCTTCCTTGAGTTTTGATTTACAAGGAGCACAGGAAGATAGTCCCATAAAAATAAGACAATAGACACCTGGCACCCAATATGAGCCCTCCCGGCCCATACAGGAAACCTGATGGTGCTCCTAGGATCCAGCTTCCTGGCTGTTTTTACCCACTGCCAACTTCTGTATATCCAAAGAAATATGTTTTCCTTCCCTCTTTGAACACACCGAAGTCCTGTCATGTGCTGTTTTGCAACTAGTTTTTCTCTTTGGGGCCAATTTGTTTATGCTGTTTTTTGGATGAGGTCCTGAGGATGGAGCCCAGGGCATCCTGGGCAGGGCTCTCCTCCTGATCACACCCCAGCCTTTCACTGGGGGACTCTAGGCAGGGGCTCAATGGTCATCTTCCGTCCTTCATTAGGGGTTCTAGGCAAGTGCACCAACCACTGATCCACTGAACCCCTTGTCCCTCACTGGTGGCCTCTAGGCAGGTACTCTAAGTGCTGAGCCATGCCCCGTGTCTTTTCTGAGTATATTGAAATGATTGTGCAGTGGTCTACCCTCTAGGCACTTCTATGTCATTCACTGCAAAGACCCTGGGGGATCAGGAGAAGTTATACCCCAATGAGTGCCTGGGGACAGGATCACCATTTATTCCCAGAAACAGCTATTTATTTATTTATTTATTTATTTATTTATTTATTTATTTATTTATACATTAACGTGTGTGTGTGTGTGTGTGTGTGTGTGTGTGTGTGTGTGTGTGCGTGTTGTATGCCATAGTGCACATGTGCTTGTCAGAGGTCAGAGGACCCCCGAATTCCCTCCTTCCAACATGTGGGTTCCAGGAATTGAACTTGGATCATTAAGTTTGGCAGCAAACACCTTTATTCACTTAGCCACCTCTCTGGCCCTTACCTATTTATTTTTTTCTTTTCCTTTTTGTGATGTTCTAGATAAAACTAGTGCCTTGTACATACAACTTAAGCACTCTACAACTGAGTACGTTCCCTACACTTTTTCCTTTTAAGTTTATTTACTTTGTGTGTGTGTGTGTGTGTGTGTGTGTGTGTGTGTGTGTGTGTGCACGTGTGTGTGTGTAAATCAGAGAACAACTTTTGGGAGTTGGTTCTCTTCTTGCACAATGTGGGTCTCAGGAATATGAACTCAGGTCATCAGGCTTTACGCAGAGCCATCCCTCTGGTCCCACCCTTTTTCTTTTTAAAATTTATTTGGAAACAGAGTCTTAGTATGTAGTCCAGGCTGGCTTCAAAGTTTCACTCCTCCAACATCAGCCTCCTCCTGAGTGCTGGGATTATGGTGTGGGTCCCACACCGAGCCAAGGACCATGCTTAGTGGGTGTCTCTCACATTTCTCTCAAGCTTTGTTTTAATATTAAATGATGCCTGGCTTTAATGGTCCTCCTTGTAGAGGAAGGTGGAAAGTGAGTGAGGTTTTTGTTTTTTGCTTGGGTTTTTTGAGACAGAGTCTCACTACGTTCCCCTGACTGGTATGGAACTTGCTTCTGGGATGGCTCAGGGCCCACTCAGGTGGCTCACAGGGTGTGTGCTCAAAGTGCCTGGTTCATCATGTACTCAGTCAGTGGGCCTTGACACTATGGAGTTACTTTTCTTGTTGCCATGGAAAAATACTGGACAGACTTGAGGGAGGCTGATGTTGGAGGAGTAAAACTTTGAAGCCAGCCTGGACTACATACTAAGACTGTTCTGTAGCCTGGAGCCCTCAAAGATCCACCTGTCTCTGCCTTCTGAGTGCTGGGATTAAAGGTGGGAGTCACCACACCCTGCTTGAGTGTTGGTTTTGAGTCTGTCTCTCATCTGGAGGAAGTTACTCTGGTGGGTTCAGTTCCCAGGTCTCAGACTGCCCCTGTTGTGACTTTAGTTTCCCTGCTATTTCCCAGCTTTCTGTGTTTGTAGGGTATGTGTTGACTTCCACCATGGAGGACAGAGAGACGTAGATGACAGGACCATTTTATAGATGATACAACTGAATCCATGTGTTCTGGGTCCTCTCTGGGGAGTGGGAGACTGGACCAGACACTTAATCTACACAGCCTGAGCTATGCCAGGGTGGGGAATGGCCTGACCATAGGGAATGGTACTGGGGTGTGTGCAGGGTGCAGGCCTTGGCTGAATACTTCTTCCTACAGATTGACTACTGGCATTCAGATCAGTGCAACATGATCAATGGGACTTCCGGGCAGATGTGGGCACCATTCATGACTCCCGAATCTTCTCTGGAATTCTTCAGCCCCGAGGCCTGCAGGTAATGCTCCCATGGTGCCTCCCAGTCTCTGGACAGAGGATTTGCTTCTGGGATGGCTCAGGGCCCACTCAGGTGGCTCACAGGGTGTGTGCTAAGTGCCTGGTTCATCATGTACTCGGTCAGTGGGCCTTGGCACTGTGGAGTTACTTTTCTTGTTGCCATGGCAAAATACTGGACAGACTTGAGGGAGGAAGAATTTATTTTGACTCTGATTCCAAAGGATTTTCCTCTTGAAGGAAAACAGTGACACAAACTGGTGTCCAAACTCACAAGCCTATGGGTGACATGTCATGTTCAGACGGTTTTGTTACTTCATAGGCTGATGCAGAACCAGAGAGGCTACCGGGTGATTGCCAGGGGTTCAGAGGTGGTGGTGGTGAGAGGCCTGACAAAAAATGGGCAAGATGGGGGGGCACCAAGGGGAGCTGTGAAGTGAAGCCAGGCCTGGGTTCCCCTGGCTGGTGGTCCGGTACCTGTGGCTGCTGCATGCAGCTCCCTCTCAGCACTCCTTGTCTCCAACTCCTCTGCTTCAGAGGTGTGCTGGGGCCTTGCAGTTTGGGGTGCTCTATCCCAGAATCCCATCTGTGGACTGGGAATACACAGTGACTCCCTGAACCCTTTCCCAAGTGGTGCCCTAGCCACTGTCCCATTCTGGACACATTGGAAATGTCCTTGGCCTGGGAGCTCACCGAGGTGACCTTTGAGTTCTCTGCTTTTCTGGCTAACACAGGCAGCCCAGCCCTGTGCCAGGCATGGGCAGGGCTGTGACAGGTTAGGCAAAGATCCTGTGCCCTGGTGTCTTTGTCCCCATCAGGGCCTTGGAGTGATGTACAGAGTGTCACAGAGGAGTGTATGTGCATTTGCTCCATGTACAGCCACTTTCCAAAATAGAGCTTTATTTTATTGTGCTGCAGGGATGGAACCCATAGCCTTGCACATGGTGGGCAAGTGATACACAACTCAGCCCCCAAATAGGATTTAAACTGAGAGAGAAGTTGCCAGAAAAGTTCAGTGGCTCCCAACTGTCTTCAACCCAGCTGAGCCAGCCAGCCTCCATCACCAAACCAGATTGTCAAGATAATTTGGGATTGGGGAGAAGTCTTGGTCAGTAGAGTGCTTGCTGTGCAAGCAAGAGGATGTAAGTCAATTTCCAGAACTCACACACTGCCTAGAACCCCAGGTGGAGACAAGATGATTCCTGAAGCTTGCTGACTAGACAGCCTAGCAAATCAGTGAGCTCCAAGTTCAGTGAGAGACCCTGTCTCAAAAAATAATGTGGCGAGCCATTGAAAAATCACCCAATGTGGACTTCTGGCCTCCACATTCATGCGCACCAGTGATACACACACACACACACACACACACATACACCACACACCGAGAAAGTAAACCAAAGACTGGGTGAGAAGTCAAAGGAGTTCACACAGGTACACATGACACAAAGAAAGAGAAAAAGGTAAGATTGGCTCCCCGTTTCAGAGGTTTCTGTCTATAGTCAGTTGTCTCTGTGGCTTTTGAGCTATGGCTAGGCCAGGTGTGAGAGAGCTGGGCTGTGGCTGAACTGTAGTTGAGGTTACAGTGCTTGCCTAGCATGCATAAGGCCCCAAGTTCAATTCCCAGCACCAGAAAGAAAAAAAATTCATTTTCTCCTGTAACTCCATTCTGAATGTTTTTTGTTGTTGTTGTTTTTGTTTGTTTGTTTGTTTGTCTTTGGTCTGGAACTTGCTATGTAGACCAGGCTGGCCTTGGACTCACAGAGATCTGCCTGTCTCTTCCTCCCAAGTGCTGGAATCAAATGTGTGTACCACCATGCCCAGCCTCTGACTGATGTTTCTGAGAAGCTTGTGGCTAAGCAAGGCCACTCAGCTCAGGACCCTGAAGGGAAAGCAAGAATGAGGAAGAGCCTGTGATCTCAAAATCCTCTTCAGTTGGTTTCACACCTTTAGTCCCAGCACTGGGAGGCAAAGGCAGGCAGATCTCTGTGAGATTGAGGCTAGCCTGGTCTACATAGCGAGTTACAGGCCAGTTGGGGCTACAGGGAGATCCTGTCTCAAAAAACAAAACACAAAAAAACAAAATGAAAGAAAAAAACCTTACATCTCTCCCAGAGATGTAAAACACTCCTGACAGACCCCACCTCCTACAGGTTCCCTTCACCCCATCATGCCTCCTGGGGCCAGCCCTTCATCCCAGGGCCTTTGAGAGGTGCTCATCCAAACCCCAGTCACTTCTTCCGTTGCTTGGAGTGTTTCTCTCACTCATCTGGGACCATGGTCTGTGCTCTCCTCTATATGCCCTTTTCCAGAATGCCGTGAGAACAGACTGCAGGCCAGGTACCCCTTTCCTTCAGTCCTTCAGGGGGTGTTTTCTAAAACCAAAGGCATCTTTTACATGGTCACAGGACTAGAATTAGGAAAGTTACCATTGATTAGATAGGATCCTCTAAACTGGTGCTGCCTAATAAAATAGAAAACAAATCACAATGCCATTTTAAACTTCCAGTTGCCACATGTCCTAGTTCCGTTTCTGTTGCTATGATAAAATACCCTGACAAAAAGCAGCTTAGGGGAGAAAGGGTTTACTTTAGGTCACAGTTCCAGGTCACAGTCCATCACTGGGGAGAAGCCACAGTGCAGGAGCTTGCAACAGCTGGTTACATCACATCCAGAGTCCAGAGCATAGAGAATGCATGCCGGCTTGCTTAGTGCTCAGCTCACTTTCTCCATTCTTAGAGTCCAGGGCCCAAACCCAGGACGGTGCTGCCCACAGTGAGCTGGGTCTTCCCACATCAATTAACAATCAAGACACTCCCCCACAGACATGCCCTCAGGCCAACCTGATCTAGACAAATCCTAGTGGAGACTTTCTTTCTTTCCAGGTGATTCTAGATGGAATTTCACATCGTTGTGAAACTTTATCTGACCCAGTGGATCTAAACCAAATGTTATTAAGGATGAGCCTTTGCTTGAGGATCAGGTCTTGGAAATCTGGGTGTCATGTCCTCTTGAGGTCCATCCCATTTGGCCTCTCCTTGTTTTGAGAACTGGACAGATGGGTGTGGTGGTGACCCTAGACCTAGTGCGTCACATGGTTCTTATTTCTGTTCAGAAGTGCTTTTGAGGATGTACACTGGTGTGAATAGAGGGCAATTAGGATAGGTGGGTTCGATTCCCAGTGCCCACATGATGACTAACAACTGTCTGTCTATACCTCTAGTTCCAGGGAATCTGACACCCTCTTCTGGCCCCTTCAGGCATTTCACACACAGAAGCACTTATATACATGTAGACAAAACACTCATACACATAAAATTGAAATAAATTTTAAAAAAATTAAAATTCACAGCATTTCTGTGTGAGACCTGACCTCTGAGTGTCAGATGATCCCAGGTAGCAGTAGCTAACCACACAACACTGTGGGGATGTTGTGTGAACACTGGCTTTTCTTGTTGTTCATAGGGTAGCAAGGAGAAAATTTGCCACACGTGCAACTTTTCCAAAAATGTTTTAGGGGAGACAGGGTCTCATAGAGTTGAGGCTGTGAACTTACTGTGTTGCCTAGGATGACCTTGAACACCTGATCCTTCCACCTCAGCCCCTAAGTGCTGGGGTTACAGATGTGCCTGACTCTGCTGAGTTCTTATTTTGAAACTTACCTACTTGAGTATGGATTGGTAGATGTGAAACTGAGGGGGCAGGCAGAACACAGAGGGACCACTGCAGTTTCCTTGGTGACAGGTGAGACAGGTGACATGGCGCCACATCAGCTCAGAGGTCTCCTCTGTAGGACACCTCCAGGCACCATCCTCTGAAACTGGTTTTCACCCTGCCTTTCCTCTGTAGGTCCATGAATTTTGTCTACCAGGAGTCGGGGGTATTTGAAGGCATCCCCACATATCGCTTCATAGCCCCTGAAACCCTGTTTGCTAATGGGTCTGTCTACCCACCCAACGAAGGGTTCTGCCCATGCCGCGAGTCTGGCATCCAAAACGTCAGCACCTGCAGGTTTGGTAAGTGTCCTGCGGTAGCCAGACCCCACATGGGGCTGGGAGGGTGGTGCTAGGAGTTCATCTGCTGCCAGCCTGCCTTCCCATTAGTCTTTGGGGATCCTGATGAATCCAGTATTCCAAATAGGGAGCTGGAGATAAGTGGAAAATATAACACCGCCCTGAGAAACATCTACCATGCCAGCATCATCCATGGGCTAGCTGGGAGTTCCACAGGGTCCCACCATGAGCGGGTGCTGATTCTGAGCCCTGGGGAGGAGTCTACCCTCACCCTCTTCCTGTCTCTCCAGCACTGCATTCCTTCCCTCGAGTCCTCTTCTCTTCAACCTAGCAACACTACCTTTTTTTTTTTTTTTAAAGTTTTGTTGCTGTTGTTTGAGACAGGGTCTCCCTGTAGCCTTAGCTGGCCTGGAGCTTACTATGTAGACCAGGCTTGCCTTGGTTTCACAGAGATCTTCCTGCCTCTGCCTTCTGAGCACTGGGCTGGCAGGCACATGCCCCCATGCTAGCTCCCCATGCACTTCTGTGGGTGGTCACCTCTGCTTAATGCTTGTAGCTTTCAGAACCCTTAACTAGAATCTGAGTGATGTCTGATCAGCAGCCATGTGCCTTAACTCCTTTGTGTGTAGGAGTGTGGGTGGGGATTCCCCCCAGGGCTATTCACCTGCCTGGGGAGTGGGCTTGGTAGAACCCACCCTTCACCCAAGCTGGCAACTCTCCAGTTGTTGCATAAAACTCTTCTCTTGAGTAGAGTCGGGTATGAATTTTGGCCCTTGCCTCGTCCTCTGGCATCTTCTCTGAGCTCTGTTCCAGTCTCCATGATGCCCCACCTCCGTTGCTCAACTCAGGTACTTGGGTGTCATCTCCTTACCCCTCCTCACCCCTCACCTATATTCAGGCCCAGGCAGCTCCAGGTACCTCCTACGAAGCCAGTGGCCCTTCCTCCTTCCCACCTCACCTCCCCCTCTCCTACCATCCAGTCCCAGCCTGCCAGTATAATCCCCCGGCCTCATGTCTACTCACATTACATGGACTCATGCCTGTACGCTTCATATCTGTCCGCACACCTGCTCAGTCACACCTGCTCCCATGCCTGTTTAGGTCAAACTGGATGTAAATCAAGTTAAAAGGTCCCTATTCAAGGCCGGGTGTGGTGGCGTATTCCTTTAATCCAAGCACTCGGGAGGCAGAGGCACGTGGATCTCTGTGAGTTCAAGGCCAGCCTGGTCTACATAGTGAGTTCCAAGGAGACCCACCCTAATCTCCTGGACCCTCTTGTCCTCCAGCGGCTCTCCAGTGTCTTCCTGATGCTTACATATGGCTGTTGCAGTTATTTTCCTTGTGCTCCACCTGTCTCCTCCCTGGACTGCAAACCCTGTGGTCATGCCCTCCATCCCTCTGCTGGGTAGAATCCTTACCTCCTGGACTGCAGGACCATAGAGTGGTCACTCACAGAATGTTGGGATATAGAGACTGGGGTGACTTGTTTAAGAAACTGAAATTCTTAAATGATATGAGTGGTTTGAAACTTGCAAAGAGAACAGCTCTGGTGGCCAGCAGCCCCAGAGAGAAGCCTGGCCTGGTGGAACCCAGCTCCTCCTTGGCTCTCTGGCTCACTGTCCCTGACTTTTGGCCCCATGGCTTTCAGCCTTGCTTCCATCTTTGCATGGATGGAATTGTGACCTGTGCTCTCCTTTTCTCTCATTTCCTTCCACCACCCACTATCACACTGGTGTGGTCCACATGATGTGGTAGGTGATTGAATTTTCCTTCTTTGTTGTTTTATGGTACTCCACAGTGGGAACACACTCCACTTTCTTAACCCCTTCCATGGTTCACGGAACTCTTGGTTTTTCACTGTCACAAGGGTTCTGCTAGAACATTCTTGTACATGCCTCAGGGTACACCTGAGTCTGCACTTCTGTGGCATTTTATCGGAAGATGACAAATGCCCACAGACATTCCTTTCTGGGTCATGACATGACAATTTCTTGGACTCAGGACTCCTTATGTCTCATCTCCCTGTCTTATGAGGACCTGGGACCTGCCCCGAAGGGCCTCTTAATCACAATCCAGGGTAATCCTGAGCAGTTAAGTCTAGGGAGATGGGCCATAAAGCTATAAATTAATTATGCTTATTGCCTGGGCATCTCTCTGAGGGTGTTTGGAAATAAAACAAGACGAAACACGCTTGCTGCATGAAAGCCATGTGCGTGTGCTGTCTGCAAGCAGGCCTGTCCTGGCAGCCATGTTGCCTCTGTTGGAATCTCTGCCTTCCAGGTCTGGTGCGGCAGCTGTTTTGTTTCCCCAGGCTGTGAGGTGTTCCCCCCACCCCCATAGAAATGGGGTCCTGTTGTTTGTTGTGTCTCCTTTCATGGTTTGGATGGGAGAATGAGAGAGGGGGTTTTCCAAACTGAAAGAGTTTGTCCCTGTGGGTGCTTGGGGTTACTTTAGAGGGTCCACAGAAATGTTGTCAGGCCTTGAGGACTTACTGGCATGTTTCTGTTTCATCCTTTTGTGTTGTCAGTGCTTGAGGGTGCAGGGGCCTTCCTGATCTCATCAGCCTGTCTTTCTGAAAGAAGGAGCACTGCCTGGATGGAGTCTCTGCTGGCCCTGGGATCTCAGATTCTCAGCATCCCTTGCTCTCTGCTATATCTCTGTACTGTGTTTCTGCCACTTTTATCTCTGGGCTGGTGCACGTGTTGGCCAAGCGTGGTGCAGGTGCACCTCTCTCATGACAGTTTTCCATACTTGAAGATGACTGTGGTGGCTGGTTCAGTGAAGTGTGTTGTGTCGTCACACAGGCTACCCATAGGGAGAGTCATGGGAGCAGTAGAATGATGTTTGAGAACCAGAAAGGAGAGGGATGGTGCAGAAAAGCAAAGCCCACGTTTTCACCTGGCCTTCATGCCCGGCCCACACTTGGCTTTGTTAATAAAGCAGAAATAACCCTGAGTGTGAGGCCACAGGCCACGCCAAGTGCAGATGTCAGAGAAGTGGGGGTTGGGGGCTTCAGCAGGGAGAGTGGGTGTGAAGGTTTCTTTTATTTTAAACATTTTATTTTTAATTATGTATTTGTGTGTGGATATGTGCACACATAAGTGCAGGTGCCCACAGAGTTCAGAGATAGCAGATTCCCTGGAGCTGGAGCTACAAGTGGTTGTGAGCCTCCTGACAGGAGAACTGGGAACCAAATTGGGTCCTCCAGAATAGCAGCAATTGCTCTTAATTGCTGAGCTATCTTTCTAGCCTGAGGTTTCCCCTTTTCTAATTATAGAGTTCTTGAGATTATGAAACATTAAAAAGCTCAACCCAGGATCTGGAGAGATGGCTCAGCGGTTAAGAGCACTGGTTGCTCTTGCAGAGGACCTGGGTTTGGTTCCCAGCACCCACATAGCAGCTAACAACCATCCAGTTCCAGGGGATCCAACACTGTCTTCTGACCTCCTCTGGCATTGCACAACATGGGTACACTTACATACATGCAGACAATATACTCATACACATCAAATTAAAAAATAATAAATAAAATATTTTTAACAGTTTTTAAAAATTATTTATTTAATAACCACATACTTAGAAGAAGCATTTCATTACAACAGCATTGACATATATAACAATTTCCAGAGCTAA